GGAATCGAAGATAAGGTGGGCCGGACACGTCATGCGATTTTGCGATGACCGTTGGACCAGAGCGGTTACCGACTGGATCCCTCGGGACGTCAAACGAACACCTGGACGACCGCCGGCCCGATGGTCAGACTTCTTCACGAAAGCTCTGAACGAAAGGAATGAAGGCTTCGTGTCCCTCGAGCGAGGAGGATCCACTGGACAACTCTTGCACGCGACAGGGACGAATGGAGACGTTGCTGGCGCCCGCTCGAGCAATTCGATGATCAACGGGACGACAGGTGATACAGGTGATACTTCGACTGCTTGCTTTTACGAGACCACTTTACAAGTGTTACATTTGAAGGCGGCCACAGTATCAGACCACTGAAATAACCCTCTCACGTTGGTTAGAGCTGTTCGCGGAGGATACCGATGTCCCAGGGCTCGAAAGTGGGCCAAGCCAATGCTCCCCATTAAGGGTCATGAGCGGTACACCTATCATCCATCATGAAGTGCTGGGTAACTGCGCTTTCTCGTACATCGTGGTTTTTTTCATGTATTCTCACTTCTCTGCGTGCTCCGATTCTCCACCGTATCACGGCAACTCTACAGAAAGTTACACCTCACTTGCTTAGAGCTTATCGTGGCTTCGACAACGCCTTTTCTGCTTATATTCTGGTACCACGTCCCTTTTCAAGAACTTATTTTCGACTAAAATAAGTATAACCCGCTGTAGGAGCTCTAACTCCAGTAACTCCTAATCAGTTCCAATCATCACGCTTGCGCTAACGACAATTACAGCAAACTATTTACCTGTCTACATGAGGTGAGAGAGTCGACTTGGGCGGATAGTAGTTCACTATGGCCGCGTCGGCATGCATATCTCCTAGTCCAAGATATCTCGTGACAACCTGAAGTCAGAATTTAGAGCGTGGGCTAAGTAGTGAAGATAGTAATTTCCAAGCATTTCTTACTGCCTAAATATTAAACGAACTAATGAAAGAATTACATCTGCAAATTGGACGAGCTCTTCTGGCAGAGGATCACCAGTCAATGGGTACTCTTTAGTGTCCCAGTTATACGCAACTCCCAACGTCGTCCATCTCAGCGATTTGCCAGCCAACCGAAGGACGTCGCTGAAACAGTTAACCAGTGAATACAAATTCAAATATTCAAACTGAATTCAAATGAATACAAATAAAAGATATGGAACAAAATACTGATGGATTTTTTTCCAAAATATTAATTTCAGAATGTTTGCCACATTAAAGCGAGAGATTACGATAAAGTGCGTATGCAGCGTGGAAGTACATGCACCATTGGAAGCAGTAGTCAGGGGCCCAAGGAAACGAAATGTTGCGTTTTTGTGGTCAAAGGTGCGCTAGTTGCAGCGTACAAGGCTTGCCATTCCTTTCTGAGCCCCGCCACGGTCTGTGCTCCGCCCCCAGCAGCAGCGCCCTTCGATTGCCAATGTGACGAGATAGTATTTCGTATAACTTATGCTATGGATGTTATTACGCAATCAAAACATGATTTATCAATCAAACATGATGCTTGCTATCAATGATAGAGGCTATCAGCATAACATGTGCAAACGACCTCCTAATTGGTTGCTAGCTCGTCCATTATCGGAGGTCAACGGGCAAAGAAAGGGGTCCCATTTTGCGCCTTCTTGACGGATTTCTTTGCTTTTTTCGCCACTGGGGCATTATTCAGCATCTCCACTTCCACTATGAACCCAGTCCAAACTTATCGTAATCCCTCGCTTTAAGGATCTTTTTGATGCATCAACAAATAAGCAGCACCTCTTTGGACTGGTGCCGTGAGCAGTGAGGTTGGTGATATTGGGAGGTTCTGCATACTGAAACACACGACGGAGCCACATCTCCACTGCGTCCTCTCTGAAAAGAGAATAAACCATTACTTTTTCTATAATATAAAGTATTCAGTTGGTGTATCGGTACAAGGATCTATCGTTTTATTCTGAAAAAAAAAGCTAAAAATTAAGGCCTCTATTCTTGTTGGACGGAGAAAGCCGACAAAGAGGCACTGGGTGCTGAGGATAGAGAACTGATGAGACAGCACAGGAGCGAGCGAGACGCAGACACCCAGCTGTGTAGACCGTCACCACTGCGAATAACAAGTGCAGCTGGTTCCAGGCACGGCCAGCAATTGAACTTGGAAACCAAATGATCTTACGGTCCCAATTTATCGTTGTGAATTGTGATCGTAACTCCTACTACTTCACTATATGAAACGTTGCACCCTTAAAAGGTCCACCCGTTTCTCCAATAGGTAAGTTTCCCTTCTTCAATCTTCGTTCTTATCGCGGGATCCTACTTTGAACGGCTTGAACACACTTCACTTACACATAGTCACTCGCTGGTTCACTCGCTCCTTAGCATACCAATGTTTTGAAATATATTCTTTGCTAAGGAGCGAGTGAACCAGCGAGTGACTATGTGTAAGTGAAGGGTGTTCGAGCCGTTCAAAGGAGGATCCCGCGATAAGAGCGAAGGTCGAAGAAGGGAAACTTACCTAGTGGAGAGACAGGCGGACCTCCTAAGGGTGCGGACCGACACGCAATTCGCATCGAAGGATATGCCCCGGCGATCTAGCATGGCCTTCCCCGCGGCGCAATTGGCGCGCTATTGGCGCGGTACGCCCCCTCTCGCGTCGTCTCGTGTCTGAGTCTCTAGCCGTTCAGCAGAGAGAGCGTTAGCGTTGAAGAGGGCAGCACCGATGAGAGTCGCATCAATGCGCAAATCAACGGGCAAAGGGGTCCCATTTCTCGGGTTCTAGGCCATTTTTCTCGGTTTTTTCTTCTTTCGTGCATCACTGACCATCTCTAACTTAATTTCCAATGGGCTGCCTTTTCATCGTAATTCCGCCTTCACAGCAGCATCCTCAGAGGTCGTGTAGAACGATCTAA